AATTGAAGAAATTCAAAGCTTAAATATACTTTATTTACTAACACATTTGCAGGATGAGGCCAAATGCAACAACATTTATTTGTAATTTCTAAAGGACAAATTCATTATATTTTTTAGTAAATAAAAAAGCAAATTACTGATTTTTTTTTTTTACTTCAAAAAGATGATAATAAATAAGTCATATTTTATTGTAATGAAAATAGATTATAGATTTTCTGTCCATGCATTCTTATTCTCTCAGATACATTTACAGATTACTTCCACGAAACATAATTAATGCATCTATAGAATCCACTGTCTTAATTGAAATCATGTCAAATGAAATATAAAACTAATAAAAATGATAAAGTTCAGTCCAAAAATGTTTTTAAATTCGAAAAAATAATTTTTTTTATTATCAAAAAGTGTTTTAATTAAAAACTTTACACTACTTAGTACACGGAGTCTTCACGGATTTGCGATAAAATTGTCAGACACACCACTAGCTAAAAAAACATAATATGGTCCAAAGATATTGTATATCCGGGATTGATTTTTTCTTTTTTTTATAAAAAGTTCTATTTGGTATTTCTTCTATCGGATATTTTTTGTTGTCGTGAGTATTCCTTCTTTATGAACTTGAATGGGAACTTTTGTATGGGAATCTATAGACAGTCTGTAGAATAGCTGGTAAAGCCATTTCTTGAAAAAGTTCTATTTGGTATTTTTTCTATTGGATTTTTTTTTTGTTGTTGTGAGTATTCCTTCTTTATGAACTTGAATGGGAACTTTTGTGTTGGAATCTATAGACAGTCAGTAAAATAGCTGGTAAAGTCATTTCTTGAAATTTTAGTACGGAATGGTATTTATTAAGTATTTAAGTGCTAATCGGAATGGTATAATGGAATGATGGTTAGAAAATTAATTATCCATTGAGTATTTATGGTAGAGAATACCCGTTATGAAGCCGTATCAATATGTGATATAATCAAAATAGAAACTATACTTTACTATTTAGTTTGTGTTAAATAAAACTACTACTTTGTAGTTTATTTACATATCAAGAAATTGTAAAATTTAAAACTAATTAGTTTAATTTTAAATTTTATATCCTTACTATTATGAACACATACTCATATTATGGCATTTCGAACTTAATAAGGATAATTAGGAAAGCTCAATTTTATTTCCAATAGTCTCTTGCATTTTAAAGTGCAATTAAAAAGTTTTAATCATTTATAATTAGTTTATAAAGATTTAATAATACCTTATTGTCTCTTAAAATTTCAATACACGCTGCTGTTGTATGTTGATTGAAGCTCACAAATCCGTCTATTTAATAAAAAAATTATATTGCGAATTATGCGCAATTGTTTATGTGCGTATCTTTGCAGTCACATAAATTGACACTTCGAATCAATACAAAACTACAAAAGCCGATGTTGTGATTGCAATGCGTTACGTTGCCAACAGCGACAATAATTATAAAGTCAATTATCAGCATTACTCGAGGAGTGTCAATTAGAGAGGCACTGCTCCACTTCACACATAATGTCAGTGAGGCGGTTTGGCCACGGGCAAGTACATAGCTGGAACAGCTGCATAGTTCTATGCCGACAACTTTCGCAACGGAACAAAATGATATGGATTTGCATACTGGGGTGATGTTGTCGCAATTTATGTTGATTGATGATTTGAGGCCTCAACGTGACATGAACATTTTATATTTGTTGATTGCAGAAATAACTAATTTGTATGGAATTTCAGAATTTGATGAATTTTTATTCAATGAACCTTTTTAATAATTTTTGTTTTTATTGTTTGCGATGTTGGAAAGAAAACAAAAATAAACTAACATAAATATATTGTTCCGTATGCAATTTTATCTAAGGGACTCTTCTATATATGGGAGGGTTTCAGGAAATTCGACTTCTGCAAGCCAAGTTTACGTTCTTCCTCTTGAATGATACTAACTAATCTAATATTAAGAAATATGTTAGTTATATCGCAAAGATATTATTCTAACTTTAATATTTAAATGTGAACGTGAATATATATTCACATACATATTCAATTAGAAACTTTGAGTCAGACAATAAATACAGTTCAATCAGTATTTAAGTAGTATGATTTATAACAATATGGAATTTCTGTGTTTTTATTAGGATAATCAATTATTAAATTTTTCTTTGAAACCGTTTATTCAATAAAAGTCTAAAAAAAACATTTTTTATATTTACAAGAAAAACGGGTAAAGCTTAACCTATACCTATATTAACCTATAATACCTATAATAACAATTATAAGATATATAATAATTGAATATATTTTCATCAAACTTTTAACTGTCAGTAAAATGTTTGCACCCTATATTATTTGCACCCTACAATATATTATTTTCTCGCAAATCGTTTCAACTAAACACAAACAACTTTTATAACAAAAAGAAATATATGCTCACCGGTATGTCTTAACCATGTTTTAATCCCCCAACCTACCCAAGCGAAATATTTAGGGATGAACTTTGACACAAAACTAACTTGAAAGCATCATATTTTTGCAAAAAGAATAGCACTTGATATCAGACTGCGGGAGCTCTACTGGATACTGAACAAAAGCACAAAGCTCTCAATCGAAAATAAGCTTATTATCTACTTAAGGCCTTGAACTCTAGGGAACTGCTGCATCTTCAAATATAAAGATTACTCAACCTTTCCAATTAAAAACCCTTAAAATAATCTCAAATGTTCCTAGATATATGACAAATGATTGTATACACCGCGATCTCAACATACCCGTAGTTAAGGATGTTATAAAAAGCCAAGCCAGAAATCACAAAAAATGTGTGCAATATCATCCTAATCATTTTGTTTGTAAAATTATAGCAGAAGGAAGAAACTTCACACGTCTCCGTAAACAAACGCCTCTGGAACTTTAATCTGCACCCAACTTCAACAATTTTGTTTAAAATTTGATCATTTAGTTTTTTTATTTATTAAAATTTGATCAAGATTGTGTAAGTTACCTAATATTCCATCTATTAGCCGTTCAATTTAGCCTGAGTCTTATGCATTGGCTACAATATAACTACTTAAATATCTTTTTATAGGTATTTGGCAATACTCGAAATAGCTATATGGTCAGTCAAGAATTTAATTAATTAAAATAATAATAAAAAAAAATTTGTTGTCATAATTCACTACTGTTCGAAACCTATCTATTATATACAATAGTTTCTATTAAGTCACTGACGTCATAACATACGTTAAAATACAATTAAATAACTTTTTGAAATAAATTGTTTATATAAAATTGGGAAATACTCGGTTTTAACTGTTACCTGGTCTCGATTTTTGAAAAATAAAAATGAACTTAAATCCAACTTGATCATTCTCGTTCCTCTACTCTACTCTTTATATATATGAATATTAGTAGATTTAGAATAATTACCACCAATAGTAGTATGTAGATATTTTTAGAGGATTGTTGAAATAATCATACAAAGAATTATTAATATATTATAGTTTATATATATAAAATTTATTTTATATCTATAGTGAAACATAGGTATTTGTGTAAGATATAATTAAATTCTTATTTCGAATATTCTAAATCTGATTTCAAGACAGATAACAAGTGGAAATAATAGAAGTCCATATGACACCTAACGGAACAAGAGGGAACTAAGGAGAGAACTAAGGTTTTCAGATTAGTTAACTATTTGTTGAATTAAATAATAATTGGTATAAATAATAATTATTAATCATAATAAATCAAAATAACATATAAGTAGGAATAATATTTCTCCCTAACACTTAACTACACAACATTAGGAAGATTAAACCACTTAAGTGATCTAATTAGTTATAGTAAGCTTGGAAGTTGATATCTTTGAACATGCAGCTTTATTAAAAGAAAAGTTTTAATTAAATTTTAGTGTTTGTCTTTTCATTTATATTCGAACCCTTCTAACTTTTAAATAGTTTCTTTGCGTCATAAGACGCGTCACTTTCGTTAAGAAAAAATTAACATTAAACAAAAAATATTTAATATTGGTCAATTTTTAAATAAAACAATTTAAAAAAAATTTTAGTTTTAAAATTTTAATTTTTGTTCAAACCAATATTTCGACTTGAATCTATAGTCATTAATGTAGTAATAATTTAATATAATTTACAAAAAAATAATACAATACTTTATTAAGTATAATTATCAGTATAATTATATAATTTTTAAATGTATAATTATTATTATTTATTATTAAAAGCATAATTATTATTTTTTAAATGTAATATTTAATAATTGACCAACTAGCCTGTATCAAAAATAAAATTATTATTACTAATTTAATGATTAAAAAAATAAATTATTAATAATTATATAAAAAAATGTTATAAAAAATTTAATAAATATTGAAAACGTAGAAATTTTTTTTTTAATTTGTAGAACTAGCAAATATAATTTTTATTTTTGTTCGATATTTATTTTGAATTTGCTTTTTTAATATAATTAAGAAACAGTCTCCCCAATAAGAACGGAGAAGTAGAAATAGAAAAATAATATTTTGTAAAAGTGTTATAAAAATGTGAAAATTAAACAATAATTTAAGTAAGAAAATGTTTCTTTTATTATTTAATATTATTTAAGTTTTTGATACTTGAACACCTACAATCGGACTCTGAAAAAGTCGAATTTCCGAAACCCATCCTTATCTCTTGCTGCGCGTAGAAATTTTAATATTTAATTTTTTATACTGAAATGATCAAAGCAGTAAAATATTAAAAATGAAATGAAATCCATTAAATGAATTTATTTTGTAAACTTTTTTGATTTCAAATAACAAAAAAGGCATTAAATCGTGTTTAACACAAAATTCGTTTCTTTTATTAAAAACCCTTACTAAGCATTTGCTCTTGAAAATTAAAAAACATTTATACACTTTCTACGTAGATACTGTAATGCTCATACGATAAAAGCTGAAATGAAATATCTACAGGACTCCCTGTAATGAAATGACTTACCCAAAACTTTGACATCCACCGAACGTTGCGATGTGTAGTTGTGTTTATTACGTGCAATACAAGTGTAGGTACCCTGGTCCGCGGTGCGCTGTACATTCTCTATAAGTAGGGTGCCATTTTGCACACGCTGTCATATATTGGTGGGAAGCTTGATGCCGTCTATTATTAAAAATATAACATATTAAAATACATATACATATATATACATAAATTTTAAGTAGCATATAATATATAGTAGCATATATATATATATATATACATATATATATATATATATACATGTCTGTGTGTAAAAAGTGAGATGGTGCCATTCAAATATTCATGAAATATGTTTTACGACACACAGAATGATTAATGAAGACGTCACTAACACAAACCTAGAAATAGAAGAGTAAAGTTTCTATTTTTGTTATTAAACTCAACATTATGTACGTACCTTTTTCTATAATGATGCTGTCAATGGGATATCCTGCCACAGGACATTTTAGGAAAAATGTTTTACCCGCTACAGCGGACAATTTTGGCATTGGGCGTACATACGGCATACCTAGCGTAAAGATACATAAATAAAAACGCACAGATAAATATATTTTAACTGATGAGAATAATTAACTCAAAATAAAAACTAATCAATCAAATTTCTTCTGATTTATTTTGTCTTATTTAAATGAGTTTAAAATGTCATTGGAATAAAAATAATTAAAATGTATTTTAAAATAGTTTTCTTTATGGTACTAAATTATTAAACAAAATTTACAAATTTTTGATAAATAAAATATAATGAATATAGTACGAGATATGATAGTATGGAGTGGAAAAACAAATAAGGTTCTTCTTTAGAAAAAGCCAACTATATCAACAAATTTCTAGTATAAACAATATCTATGTACATGATTCTAATTTCTCGAGCATGCCGAGAAAATCCATTATTAATGAATTTTAATAATTTACTCCAGGATAATAGGATTTGCTCCAGTTTTGTGGAGCAAAACCTACTCCTATGGTATATAATATGAAAAATATGACTTAATAACGCGCTTTAAATTGGAAATTTTTTACAAGAAAATCACCTACTGCACTATCTGATAATATATAGTATATTATAATACATGTATAACAATATATATAATATAATAATAAATATAATATATAATATAATAATAATTATAATACAATAATAAATATAATATATTACTTGCTGTTTCTCGTCGTTTTTATAACCGATATAAAAATTGCATATACTAGAAGGCATTATGTAAAAAATTTACAACTTCAAATTTCGATGGCTCAAGAAGTAAGCTATATCAACATACTGTTGAATAGAAAACCGCTCTCAAAATAGTTGAGTACTTACATTGTCCATTCGACGTGATTATTAATCAGAATGGCGTTCCCATTTTTTTTTTTGTGGGTTAATGTTGGTAGTACCTTTTTAAAGTATATTTGATATTTTGAGGTTATGCTGGATATAATATAATATATTTTTTCTTACTAAAATAATTTTATGAAATCATTTTGTATAGCTGATTGACTTTATAACAATAAATAATCTCACAACTTCAAAAGGATAATTTTGTTGGCAACAGATCAGTATAAAGATAAAGGTATTCTTTTGTTTAATGCTTTGATTTAGAAACTAACATGTGTTTTTTTTTCAAGAAAGAGGATAGTGTATTTAACCCTTATGCTACAAATATAATAATGAAAATATTTGACTTTTCGTGAAAAAAAGTCCAAGGCTCGCTGGGTGCTGTTTTTAAATTTAAAATAATAAATTATTTATTAATTATTTATACATATTAATTATATTATAATATATTATATATTATATTATTATATATTATATTATTATATATTAATTATTTATTTATTAATTTTAATTATTTATGTGTTAATAACACTGAAGATAGTCCGAAATATCTGTTAATAAAATATATTACTTACGTTAACAACTGTGATAATTTTTATTTAATCTTAAGTTTGCTTTTATATATAAAAGTTTGTTTTTGTTATTATATAAAAATATCATTTTAAAAACACGACCTAAAGCCCGACAAAATTTAAACACAGAATTATTGAGGTCGACGATAATTATTCATGTACTTATTATATATTTGCATTGTTTTGGTGTAATCGGATAACTATTTTGAAAACGAGATAGTCTTGTATACAACATGACGTATAAACACCATATGATATGTTTAACTCAAACTAAATATCATGTCATTAATAAATGGCCATAGCAATACATATATAATCACAAAGAGACTCCAATATTAACAAAACAGAGCTTACAGTTACGTTCGCTTGTCAAATTATGGAACGTCTATATAATATTCACTATTTTTTTTAAATTTCTAATATCTAATGTACATAATTAAATGCAGTTTAGTCGAAATACTTCAAAACATTTTGCAAATGTTTTTTAAATTTAGAAAAAACTAATGCGATTACATTAAAAATTATAAAAATAAATAAAAAAAATAAGTAAACACAAAAAAAAAATTTTTATATAAATATTATATATATCTATATGTGATAGCTTGAAAATATTGAATTAAATTAATTGAAAAAAATGTTTATACGAGTTATTTTCATTTTACTTACCGTAAATATTTAAGCGTGCTGAATGCGAAGCTTCACCAGCCCGTGAAATTGCTTTGCACTCATACTCCCCACCATCTTCTGACTTAACAGCGGAAATGTTGACATGGCTTATAACATCGCCAAACATGGTAACATACTGTCCAATCAAAAGACGATCATTCTGTCAATTTATACAAAAAAATATGAGTTTTTCTATTAAAACACGACGTTAGATAAAAGTTTTTAGCATAAATATTTTTTAATTCGTATTTAATTTCGACGTTTTTTGAAGTATTCATAGAGCACACACTTAGAGCAACCAGTGTATAAATTTCTGTGTACGTACAAAACACTAGCGTGAGTAAATTAAGTTACTCATACGCACTGGTGTGCAATATTATGCACTGGACGATTGCTTTTGCTAACTGTGTTTTATGTAAATGAGAAAAACTTTTGTTATGCTTAGCTTCATAAACGAAAACTTTATACTAGACTATAGCGACATGACAGATGAATTTTGATACCCTGACAGCTGAAGTTGCAATCGCAAAACAAACTTTTTGCTGCTTTGATGAAATGTTTAATTAATATCAGCACATATTTCACTAAGACAATACAACAGACGGACATGCATATGATTATATTTATTGTCTTTGGGAGCAACTTTAACTTGTGGGAAAAAAATATATGTTCTGCAATGCTGCACTGTGAAGATGCAAATTTTGACACATATTTTCTATACGTTTAATATGTAAATGTTGTAAATATTTCTTTAGATTGGTACTGTTCTTATTTTGAGGTGGTAAATTAAAGTCTCAGTGCTGTTGTATCCTCAACTATTAAGTATAGAATGTATTATTTGATAAATGAAACTATACTACTGATTGCGGTATTAATTTATTCTAAAAATGTGTATCCTTTTACATTAAAGGACTTGATATGATGAAAAGAAATGCAGTTATGCAGTGAAAAGAAATACTTAGGTATTAATCATTAGGTTCACAAAAACTAAAAATCGGAACAGAGATTCAACAGAAAATATAAAAAAGTTGTTCAGAAACTGGCAAGTTATTCAAATGTTAGAAGTCTACTTTATGCAATGGTGGCCATATGGCGAGTTATTTTAAGCATACTAAGTGAATTGATAAATACGCGGCCTAAGTAATAAATATGCATTTTTTTGGGAAAACATATTTTATGTTTCAATATAGTATTCTTTTAGCTCGACACACCAAGTCCAACGAACTTTCAGCATCTGAAAGATCAGCCTCACCCATTTCACTTCAGCATTTGATGCAAATCTATACCTGTTTGAAAACAAGTAAAAGTCACTGGGAGCCAAACCTGGAGAATACGGTGCGAGCGGAAGCAATTCGTACCGTGATTCATTTAATTTTACCATGATTTATATTCACGTGTCAGTAGGTGCCTTTATTTTGGAAAAATAAAATTTTTTCTTTGGCAAATGTGGTCATGTTTTTTTTTTTTTGATTCCCTTATTTAATTGATCCAGTATTATGAAATAGTAGTCTAAATTTATTGTTTTTCCTTTTTCCAAATAGTATATGAAAATCATTCGAATTGAATCCAAAAATACGGAAGCCAAAACTTTTCAAGTCGGTTGTTAAGTTTGTGGTCGTTTGGGACCACTTCCCCTCGGACTCTAACCGTTCTCTGTCTTGTTGTGCTGTTTTCTCTCAGTGTTAAGTAATGGATCTATGTTTACTCATTTATCACTACTCGATTTGATTAACTCATAGTCAGCTAATGACGAATGACGAAGACGTTATCGTTTTTTTTAATCAATTGTGAGCAATAGTGACATAGTCATCTTGTCGAAAGCTTTTTTATACCCAAATATTCATATAAAATATTCGATACATATATAAAATATTATATGATATGTTTGTGATCTAAGCTTTCTGATATCTCACGCTTTTTGGATCATCTAACATAAAACCGAGAATTTTTTAATGTTTTTTTTTAGTTGTGACCATTTTTGGACAACCCAGACGCTCTTCATCAAGAACACTCGTACGACAACGTTTAAATTAAGCATACCAATATTTTATTGCAACAAATTTTTCTCGAGGAGTACAACTGCAACGTCTCCGGGTATAAAAGATGTCATTCTCGCACTGCAAAAATTCATCTTTCAATGTGCTAAATCCTAAATTGAAACGTGCAAAACCTGTTCGTCTTTAATGTAAGCACTAATTGCAGCTCCTCTTTAAATGAGAAATCTGAGCTCAAACTAAAAGGTTTCTGCACTTCGATCAGGTCTAGTTTTAATATATCATCTATATTTAGTTCTCTACATTTTATTTTTCCACATCTGTAGTGTTTTGATCTCCCCTTACTATTCAACATATTCCAAGTATTTATTTTGTCTTTATCTTATCTTTAAATTTTTATGAGAACGACAAAAACTAGAATTAAAAACTTCAAGAACTTACACAACTATTTATTTATTACAGAATTCTATTTGGAAGTGAACGATATCATCCTCGCATCTAACTATCTATGTCATTTAAAAAATCTTCCTCTAGAAATTTCTTCTAAAAATGTCATGATTATTTTCTGGATCATACATAGGTACCTGCTTGCTGTTATTTGCGATATGTTTACATAGAAACAAGCGACTGTTTCTTGTTTAATCGATATGGATTCTTATAATAAATCAGTTCAACTCTATTATAGATTTTATGGAAATTGTTTTGGTGTGTCTTACAACTCAAAAGCTTCGTATACAAAATGGTATAGATGACGAAACACAAGTATTGTAAACAAATAATCGAGATTTAAAAGCGTAGATTTAGTTAGTTTAAAGGGTAGTAACTGCAGTGCAGAACAAATAAAAATGAGTTTTAAAAAGTTACTACAACCGAGTGTACAAAACAGATTTATGGTAACCACAAATCTATGAAATGCCAAAAGTATTTTCAAGTAATTCTTCTGCAACTAAAATTTATGCACATCCATTTGCGTATGCAAGCATACATTTTGATTGTTGTGAGGAAGTAAGAATGCAGCCGAAATGAGTTCTATTTGTTCTTATAGTGGTACTGCATTTATGATATACCTAGCATGGATCACGCAGGACTTTTCCTATTCATTGCAGTTGTTTCCTTTCGCAAACACATTTTGGCATTTTTCACAATTTTACCAAAACAGTCACCGGGGCATACATCACACACATTAGTTGCGGTTCGGTTAACTCTTGCCCACAGCAGTGATTTCGCTGATGGTGAAGTAATAAAACTACCAAATGCAGGAATATAAAAATAAAAACAGTTTTGACAAAAAAGGCAAATTTAAGTTAAATTTCCACTAAACACAAGCTGCAGCGCCGTTTTCACCTTTAATGTAACTGCAAACTATCCGCATGTCAGGCATGATGAAGTGCTACGCAAGAGTACAGCACTGCGGAGTAAAGTGACTTGGAATGCAAAGCAAAATTCGAGACATGTAGCGTACAACAAATGATTCACTGCCGAATGATGGCAAGGATTCCTGCTTTAATTTGCGTGCTCTCTCATGCAGTGCATAGAGGAACGTTTGGAAATGCGGGTTCCACATAGAAGCCCTTCCCCCCAGCAACTAATGTGAACTATGGAAGAGCACTTGCACGCACATACGCACCGCCAGATAAACACCCATGCATGCGGCACAAACAAAATTCTGGATGATTTTGCTGGTTCGCTTGTTAAAATAATGGCGCTCGCACTGCTGGTGTCGGTGTTGCTGGAATTGTTCTGGTGCCTCGCATTTCATGAACTCAACTCTGTAAGTCCTATAACGGGCGCATCTGCATATTTGCACATCTGTACGAGATTCCCGAATGACAATAATCCTGCAGCAGCCAAAGTATAAAAGCAAAATTTCAATACCAACGTGAAACTTATCAATCACGCTTCGGTGACGGTCTTTACAAATTTTTGTGTTATTGATATTTACGGAAGGATTCATTTAAGTGGGGCTTCATTAGCATAGACAGCGATTGACAATACTAAAAATGCAACATTTTTCCAATGTTTTAACTTCACATCCAAAATTTGCTGTTTTACAAAATTAATTTAATATCTGTACTACGTATGTGGAACACAAAACGGCTCTAAAAATATTTACGGAAAATTTCATCAGGTATACTTACATTTGGTAGTGGGAAACCATCTAAGTGCCATACAATCTTTGGTGTAGGATTGCCAGTAGCACTGCATTTCAGAGATACCGACGGACCAGGCTGCATTGTCTGCTCAATGAACTTGTAAATTAGCTGCGGGGACACCTCTGTAAAATAATTATAGATTAGTTATTTTTATATATGAATAAAGTATTGTTAATTATTATGAATACACATTCTATAATTAATATAAATCATTATTTTTAGGGAAAAACTGCTGCATTGTAAAAAACTAATAAATAATACTGTGATTCTGAAACATATATTTTAATGACCACTCTTCTAGTAACAAGGCAAGTGCCATTGAATCCATCAAAGAAAAAGTACATATACCTATATTAAAAATCATTTCAATCAAATGTGATGGTCTGCATTAGGGTCAAGTTGCATGATACAGATAGTCATATGACGAAGATTTACTGCTATTGGTCATGACCAAAAGGCATGCTCTACAGAGAGTCATGTCGTAATTGTCAATTCCGTACTTCAACTACTATTTTTATTAAATATTTTTATTTCTCAAGCTGAAATGTTAAATTTAATTTCAACGTCAGTTCTTTTGTATTTAATGGGAAGGCTTCGAATAGTAGTGAATTACAACAACAAAAAATTTTATATATTTTTAATTAATTTAATGTTTATCTAACCATACAGCTATTTCCAGTATTGCCAAATACCCATCATCAATAAAAAAGAATAATGCTTAACTATTAAAACAATATATATAATTAATTTAATTATTCTACAGCTGGTTTATGATTTCGTTCTAATATTGGGTGCAGTTAAAAAAATGGCATCATTTTTCCAATAGATGGCTTTAGTTATCTGTATCCCGTGATGTTTAAGTCTGATTGGGTTACGACATAAGAGAGATGAGATTAGATAGTTTGGTAATTGGTAGACTCAGTGTTTTTTGAGCGCATATCTAAAATAGCCACTAGCAAAGAAAAAATACGCCTTATTTTACAGTTTTTCTTTAATAAAGACGAAAACGCAATCCAAGCAATTTAGGTTTTGTCGACTATGAAAGAAGCAATCGCCCGAAAACGGTCAGCTTTGAACAATAGGAGAGTAATTGTGTTCCATCAGGACAACGTCAGGCTACACACATCGATATTGACTTGTTAAAACTTGGTTGAAAGGTTCCCATGCATACACCAGGCTTAGGCATATTTGACCTAAATGGGATCATTCTAACTATGCTAAGTACCCCTCAATTTCATACAAATATTATGGATTACTCTTTATTATACATATTATACTATAGCAAGTGAATTTGTTAATGAACCTTCGCAGCAAATTAACAAAACTCCAAGTTCGAAGATCAAGAACGACTTTGGGTCAGTTGGCTTATGAACGCTGACTCTGAGATTTGAGTTTATACGAGTTTAACCCCTGATATTTGCAGTCTTAAAAAATTATTTACGAATAATGAAAAATTACGTGTGCAATAATAATATGATCAGACCAAAAATTAAATTAATTAAAATAAAATTTTTTGTTGTTGCTATGAAGTATTGTTCAAAACCTTTCTATTAAATTAAATCTAAATCTATAATTAAAATCTATTAATAGAGGATGCAATTATTTTTGCGTGGATATACTTAAAAATCCCCAAAAATACACATATTTACTTCTAATAGAAGTAAATTCGGACATTTATTGTCTTAGCCAAATTTTGATCTATTTAGATCTTCTTCTTTCTCTTTTCGTTTTTACTTTCTCTTCTTCTTCTTCTTTTTCTCCTTTTCCTTCTTCCTCTTCTTCTTCGTTTTCTTCTTTTTTTCTTCTTTTTTTTTCTTCTCCTTCTTTTTTTTCTTCTTCTTTTTCTTATTCGTCTGCTTCTTTCTCAACTGAGCCGTTTCCAAAAAAAAATGTTCAGCAGTGTAATATTTTAGATTATTTAATATGAAATAAAGGCGCAGTGCTCCAGATCGTTGGGAACCCATAGCCCTCTACAAAAACCTCAAAACCGATCAAATTTATTATAACTTGCTAATTGAAGTGCATTGTTTCAATGATCTATTGATATATTAGTGCCTATTACAGTGTTTTAAGGACAAAATAGGTTATGATTATGAAGATAAAAAATTTATTCAAATCTGTGTATATAGAACACAAATGTTTTTTTTTAAATTAAAATTGAAAACATATTTTCTAAAAAATTAAAAAACAATAACTCAACTGTGTTGCTATTTCTTACGATTTTATGGTATGATGTACCCACAAAGTGTGAAAAATAATTTGAAATTCACTCACCACCGAGCCTCAACTCTGCAGTGCCCTGCACTGACTCCAAATCATTTTTTACGATGCATTGGTACATGCCCTTGTCTTCCTTCGTTATGGATGTGATACGTATGTGCTCCTTGGAGAGTAAGCGCACACGTGCACCTGAACGTAGTGGTTGTCCGTCCTTTAGCCACAGTATACTTTGCTTCGGAAAACCCGATATGCTGCAGATCTGAAAGTGAGCAAAAGAAAAAATGTGAAAGAAGTGAAAGAAGTCATATCACAAAAAATTGGCATTTCAATCAAAATTTCAAAACCAATGCGGTTTTCACAGCATCGCCGAAGCGGAAACATTATGTGTAACAAATTTGTGTTATAGTGTGTGGAAATATGGGTGTAAGTGGGAGTGTATATCTGGAGTATGTGACTGACAGTAAAGCTATTTCGTAGAAATGAATAAATGAGAATAGTGGAATGAATATAAAAATGGAAAACATTGTTTACACCTACCAAATCCGCAGTTTTTCCCAAATTCACTGTTTGTATGGTGGGTTGGATACTTGCTGTGAGCGGCGAAGTGATTGACATCTGCACCTCTAGGGTTTCGCTGCCCTCAGAATTCGTAGCTGTGCAATAGAAAGCTCCACTGTCCGATTTTTCCACTGCGGTTATTATAAAAGTGCCATCTTTGATTTTTGCACGCCCAGTGGCCAACAAGTGCTGTATGGATTCCTCATTATTCGACCGTTTGGTCTGCCAACTGCAGATAAAAACAGGAAAAAAATAGAGGATTTTAAATTAAACAAGTCTAAAAAATATTCAAATTTGATTGAAAAAGTAACAAGCAAAAAATATAGCTTTGGTTTTGCCGAAACTTTAATACCTTTCACACAGATAGCTTTTATAGACTATTCAATTTTTTGACATAAAATTAATGCTTATGAATATTTTGAGATGTACGGTCAATTCTATGTTTTATTTTTATGACCGTTCTACATTTATTTGATTGGTTTAAATGATGAGACCAATATGAGACCAATAGCTGGGACAATGAATATTATTTCGGAGTCCCATTTTGACCAACTGTTCCAGAAATAATCGCGCTCAGTCTGAAGATATCTCCTTAAGGCTTGTTTTAAAGCTTGTCTTCTACTCCTCTTACTAGTTACAAGAATTTTCTATCCTATGGCTTTCTATCCTATGGTTTGTTGTCCGAAGGTATCTTATTTTTTAAGTCATTTGGTCAAATATCAAAACCTTCTTCGTGTCAGTTCTTTGTTTTTACCTTTTTACAGTAATCTTGAAAATAATATGGCACTGGTTTCGTATTTCTCAATGCGTGGAATAGAAACATGGGTCATTTTTAAAAAATGTAAGGAGTCTCATTTATACAAATAACGCAAACATAAAAGCTACAAGTTCTACATAGTCCTAAACATATTTTTCAAATAATTGTATTCAGTTGAACTATAATATTTACAGATTATAGTTGTTCCAATATCCTTGACATTTGTGAAGTCAATGGATTGTGGTTCACAGATATTTATAAAATAAAGCGGTATTTTGCTTTTGAATAAAAACACATGCCTTGAATACTGTTCTGGACTGATTAACTCATTGCTCAAATTTATTAACAAATATTTAAAATTTGAAAAATATATATATTAAACATTAAGCAGTGGTGTCACTTAGACAATATAATATCACTGCCATTATTACGATTTCCTCAAATTTGTCTTCTAGGTGTACGTATGAAGGTAGGTAGGTGTGAATAATGCCGCCACTATTCGCCGTTATAACGAAAGTGATGTTTGCATAGAAAAATAATGTCTCCAGCATCCCGTAACTCATTGATATGTGCTTTAACTATTTTTCGAGTTATTGAATCATTTTTAATTTTTGGATACTTTTTCATAATATGTTCAATAATACTAGTTCTAGAAGTTACATCTCCTTTAGAACATAAAACACCCAGAGCTTCAACAATTTGAAACTTTGTTACTTCAGGGGTAGCATTAGTATCATTGCAATCCTTCACTGGAACATCATCGTCTTCACCACTGCTTTCTGAAGATGACTATATATAAGCGTTAGTAAAACTATGTGACAAATATCAAACACAATAAATTACCCTCAAGAACATATCACAAAGCGGTGACACCTCCATTGTCCTGCTAACCTATCGTTTGGAAACGACGTTGTTTTTGAGGAATTATAAAAATAAAAAATTTACTAAACTAAATTGAAATAAATATAAAACAATAAAAAAATTTAATGCATAACAAACTTTATAATCAAAATAAATTTCTATGAATACTTGATATTTGACAAATGAACATATCGACAAATTTAATATATCCTTTTCCCGCTACTATTTGTGCGAAGGGTATCGAAATTATTTAGACGAAACATACGCAGAAAAACTTGGTTATTGCGCAATATTAAAATGGAATAAATTATTGATTTCGATTGCCATGAAATTCCCAAGCTAGATTTCATATGTGATATCTCTGGACATAGCCATATGTATGTAAGTATGCAGTCATACATAGATACAGACGTTTGCGATTGTTGCATGAATTGAAAAATTGTGGCATCAAAAAGGTGGTCCATGGTAGTATGTGCCAAAAAATTAATTGAAAAATTGATAACAATTGCAGAAGTAGAAGGGATTATTTGTGAATTTTCTAATTGTGCCTCAAAAATATCAGATTCGCAAATGACAAAAAAATGATTACCTAAATTGCTTTCAAACTTCGTTATAACATTACGGTTTCGGTTTTAGCCAATAAAGTTTGCCAAACGATTTCACTCTCAAATGGAATTTAAGCAGTAAATTAGATTATGTAGGATACGGATTGGAACCAGCATAACGTTGGCCGCTTTACAAACCATGGCATTAAAGTAAATGAAAATATTACTAGGAAAAAACATTTAACATTTTTTTTATCGCAAAGGATATTGCATTGTATATAGATATGTATGTATAAATCTATTACTTGTTTATTTGCAGATACTAAAAGATATAGTGTATGTTAGTTATATTAATAGCTAAATCTGATTTCATAATATTGCGAGAGAATTTATTTTAAATTTACAAGAAATTTCATTTTCAGACTCCCATTTTTATTTTGCTTTTATTTCACTCTGTCCTAACCTGTATATATCATTCTCTTTCTTTTTCCATACTCTTTTTTTTCTATAACTTTTAACTCTTATATTTACTAATATTTAGATAGTGTAAAAAGTGCTCGCCTCAATGTAAATATATACCATGTATATAACTAAATGCTATGAAAGTGTAATTATAAAGCAATCTTACCTAGCCTTTATATAAACTATATAGAATAGAAATAGTCAACTTCAAAAGATAGCTTTCAAATAGTTGAACTTGGGTTTCCAAATAAAACTTTAGTTTATAAGCTCGTTCTAATGTAAAGCACGGCTAGTGCTTTGATTAGTGTCACTTAAAAAAAAAAGTAAGAAGTGATAGGAAGCCTGAAACTTGAGCATTGAAAGTTTGTGCAGCCTTGGCTTTTTGCGGATAAACACGATTAGTCATCGCTTCTAATTTGGCAGGCACGAGTTCTAAGCCTGGCACTTGCGGTTCAAACAAATTATATACGGACTATGAGCTAATTAAGAAATTCAAATATTTTCTAAGACCACTGAAGATGAGTACTTGGCAATAATCGAAACAGCATTGTATGGTCTTAATAAATTAACTAAATTTTTGTTCTTGTCTTTTCTTTGCTATTCGAATCCATCTATCTCATTTTTAAATAATCATAAAGACGCGTCACTCTCGACAAGAAAAAAATTAACATTATATAGAACTATATTTCGAGTGGTAGTAATTGTTACAAAATGACATTTAGTTTTAAAATAAATATTGAAATAAATATATTTAATATTATTAATATTATGGTACATTTATAATATTATATAAATATAATATAAATACGGATATCTTTTAGATAATATACTATACTATTAGTATATCATCATCATCAGTTTTTGTATCTTCCCCTAAAGCATAGGAACTCAATAACACAATATAAACATATATATTTTATCATGAACGTGTTTTATATAGACATATTAATAATTATTAAAAATAATTTCAGATTAAATTCCTTTCCAATAAAAATATTACTTATTACATTTATAGTAAATATATTTTGAAATATTTCAAATACGTTTTAATTGTAAAAGATAAACAAGAAGTTAATAATCACAATTATTATTAGTAAATATTCACTTCATGTTCATTTTATGATGAATTATACCAAATTTAAATAATTTCAAATTACGTTAAATACATTAAAATAGTTCTGAAAAATATATCTGAAATTAATATAAAAAATATTTATAATAAGTAACTAAAATTAAAACAAATATAGAGAAATAAATTTTTACTATAAAATATCTAAAGAAATAAAAAATTGCTTGAATTTAGTAACAAATTATTATCAATTCAAAAAATTAGTTAATTATCAATTATAAAACAATAACAAGATATAATAAATATTAAAAAAAAAAATATTGTATTATATAATACTGTGAAGTAATAATTTAATATATAAAATGATAAGAAATAAATTATTAACAAAAAAATTGGATTAAAGAAGTTTGTCATAAAATTTCTATATAATAGAATAATAATAGGCTAAATTTTATATTACCATAATTTCGATTGACTGAGAACGTATGCTCAACTCACCAATAATACAAAAATGTTTTTTTTTTCTAAAAGGTATAATATTCTCATTTCGGCTGAGAGTATATGCCACTTTTGATTAGTAAATTTGGGATAACTTTTTCAAACGAGTTTCATTTTCAGTGCAATCATCATTTTCGATCAGTGAATCTCGAACAAAATGGATCCAATCGATCCATCAATCGAAAACGCAATTAGTTTCCTATAACGAATAACGACGTTAGTTAGTTAGTTAGTTGTGATGAAGGGAGGACGAGTCCTCCTCAATTAGCTAAAAAAGCCGTTTTGAATCCACAAAAACATCGTAATAGTGGGTAGTAAAGAGAAGGTCAAACTAGAACCAGTCAAAGACATTTATAAAGGTAAGAATCTGGCTAATGCTAGAGGTATCGCCGAGTAATTTGAAGAAGGGGGCCCCTAGAAACTTAAACCTAGTGCTGGCCAGACCTGTACAAAGACACATCAAGTGTTCTGGTGTCCTTTCTTCGATGGCTGGTAGACACGCACTGCAAGAGATATCACAGGTAGGCCGAGTCTAGCTCCATCCCGTCCAATTGACCAGTTCCCTGTAAAGACAGATATTAACCTAGATACCTTTGATTACAGTGTTCAAAGCAAACATTTTTGTTTGATATTTAAAACACATTATAACATATAAAAAAGGTTTGAGCACTGTCTAAACTCTACAGAGTTTAGAGAAAAAACTCCACACTGTTAAAAACATCCCTGTGTTTTGAACTCGTTGAGTAAATTAAATGGATCTCATTTGTAAGAACGATGGCTTTGTATTGAAATGTATTACGAAATTTATAGTAGTTAAAACACATCAAACACATGAACACATGAATACAGCCAAAAACTAGTAGGTAAATTTTTATTTTAATGAATATATAAAGACATTAGTAGAAGTGCAACACTGGTTTGCAGGTACATTAACGGACCTATTCTGTGCACTTGACAAATTTATCAAATTCTTTAATAAAATTTTTGATTTTTATAAAGCAGAAAGCTTTTTGGTATTCTGGACACATCTTGACAAATTTCAAGTCTCAAGTACCTAATGCTTCTCACCACACTATGGTGTAAAGTGTTTTGTATATAAAACTGTTCGTAACTGTTCGTTATTGCTCGTAACTGTTCGTAAAAAATAGTATATATTTTAAATTGTAGAAAGCATTTTTCATTCATTCAAATCACAATAAAAAAAATGCTTGTAAGGAGCGTATATTTTAGTTAAGAATATTTGTCATGCATGCAAATAATAAAAAATGCTTAAAAAGAGCATATTTTTATAGTTGTGAACAGCATTTGAGGTATTGACAACTAACAAGGAAAAGTGCTTTTTATTTATGTTACAGAATACCAAAACCTTTACAGCAGTCAATTTTGACAAGTCTCAATGTTTGACAATTTTATAAAGTGCACAGAATAGGTTCGTAAATGTATCTTTATATAATACCTTTTTCTAAAAATTAGTTTTTATTTAGATATAATTGTTGTAAGTTAGATTTCTTACAAACAACGATTAGATATATTTTTAATAAAATACTACCAAAATATAATCATTGTAAAATGTTATTAACATTTTTTGGATAAAAGGTTTCTATATAGCAGCACCATATTATTACAACAAGCATAATATTATATTTTGTTTATTGTTAATATGATTTCTATAATTAAATTTACACTGCAAAATTGAATAGTTGTTTTTAGCTATAATATGTGAAGTCAACATTGGATTCTTAAATTTCATATGTAGGTAATATTAATTCAAATTTAAGTGCTTCTACATATATAAGGCTTCCGTCAAATCAACATAATCGTTTATATTGGCCATCAACCTAATATATTCTTATATAAACAGAATCTTAATCAACACATACTCGTAAGCAGTCACAAAATATATATTCATAAAAAACCAAAGCAATTGAGAACTATAATTTAACTTTATTAATTAATAGTTTTATTACTAGTATTAATTAGTATTAATAAGATATATACAAGCACTTATTCTGAAAAAAGTGCTTTTACCTCAGTGTAACAAGTTTTGTGTTAAATTTATTAACATTAAAACTTAACGTCAAATTTAAAAATGTAGCGAATATAAAATAAAAAACCTTTTTTACGTATAATACTATATATATGTAAATTGAAATTATAATTAATAATATAAATAATTATATAATTAAATTCACATCAATTAGAAATTAAACCTCTTTGTTTTACTCAGCCAGCTAGATATTTTACAATATAATTAATATTTAGATGTATTTTAAAATCAGCATAAGTGAAAGTGCTAGTTTAGAGCATTAAAAAGTACAGAAAAATAATACGAAAATGTTTTGAGTGAAGAGATGTCATACGCACACACATTTTCAATATGAAAAAAACAGAAAATATTAAGTTAGAAATAAAGATTTCTTAATTTAAAGGATAAAGTTCCTCATTTAAAGGATGATTGTATATAACCCTGTCATTGCTTTGAACTAAATATTAACAGAATAATTTTAAATA